ATTGTCATCCAAATATAAGACATTGATTCTTTTTTGGTTCTGTACTTTTACTGCATATCAAATATTCTGTATGTGTATAATCAAATCACCACACAGCGAGCATGCAACCCTTTTTAAACCAGGCCCCCTGGAGGTTAATACAACCATGACCTCCCTCACACCACCATGTTGTTGGTGACCTCAGTGGGAATTGACAGCATTAGAGATCTTTAATATGCTGACCTCACAGAGCTACATGTTGTATTACCCAGATAATTCATCATGTGACTCAAAACAGCAGAACCTTTCTCTGAGAAAAAAGAGACGAGGAAAAGGAAGGTATAGAGAGAGGGAAGAGAGGAAGAGATGAAGCACAGGAGGACCAACGTCTTCAGGGTGGCCAGGAAACAGGAGCTCACACACACACATACACACCCATCTTTGCTCCACCGGCCTCCTCTCCCATCACCCGGGCGTGGGAGAACCCACCAGCTCAGGTCTCTAAAAATCTGACGCACCAAAGAGCCGAGTCCCAGCGCCTCGGGAAATAATAATGAATATGGAATGATAGTCTGTATTTTGTGCTGCAAATGCAACCAGATGCAGAAGGTGGAGGGAAAAAGAATCAGGAGCAGATGTGTGAGAAAAACAAGAGTTCTCGTGTACTGTGAGCAGCCAGCGTGCCCTGCAAACATATTGTAACCTTAGCCAGTGTGAGGAATAATCACTTTTAGTCTGTATATCGCCACTTTGTAATGAGGGGAGGTTTGAAGTAGTTCTGCAGCTGCTCCCTGGGAAAGTTCGGTCGCTGAGGAAGCGGCCGAGCTAGACACAACACTGCCCAATTAACATGGAGACCTCTGACAACCAGTGTCTGACACCTTTCTGCAGCCTACTGTACATGTGGTGGAGGGATAGAGTGATCGCATATCTTCATAGGCTCAGATGTACACATGAGAACTGTGCAGCTGGATGAGAGCAGGAGATCTAGAGCTGTTTGTTTCAAACTTTAAAAAAGATTAATTTAAGTGATTCTTGCTTTTTCCATTCTAAATTCATTTTATTGGTGCTGAGAAGAATTGATTCCTGTAATTCTGCACCACACTAAACAGAGACGACTTGGGTTTTATAGAGATAAGCCACCAGGCAACTGGAATTCAAGACCTATTATCACTGTTAAATCAATCAGGGATCCAGAGTCTGTAGCTGATATTCATCCAGTGTAAGTCAAGCAACACATTGGGACTTAAAACTTAAACCTGAAACTTTCTGCATGTTTTAATCTCCTCAGACTTTTTGTAGACACCAAGGAAACATGTGGATTTAGAGCTGGCAGCTGCCAGTTGAGCCCGTCAATGAGAAAGCTGTGATGTTCTCTCAGACGGCTCTGTTGTTGAAACGTGTTCACATTTATATACATGTATGTGAGAACATGTTTACAAATGTACATACAGTGAAAAAAATCATTAAGCAATACCGTGACATAAAGAGAGAGAAGACAGTGACATGTTTGGATCAACACCAAATATTGATTTGATTTATTCATCATTCATCCTTTTCTCTTAATTTTCAGCATCTCAGTAACATTTGCACATGTTCACACAGGTTTTTAGGTTTAATGCCAGTTTTTTGTTTTTCATCTTTTAGTGTTTTTTTTAATTTTAGGAGGTGCAATATTAAAGTGACTTTTATTCTGCATTATTATTATTAGTCTGGCTCTTGTGTCCTTGTGTAATCAAATGTTTTGTTGTTTGATTTGATATCTGTTTCCATATCCGGTCCCTTGTCGTCATTTATTTCTGCTGCTGAATCGCGCTTGTTCGGTTTGTCCTCCCGGGGCCACCGTACCGTGACGTCACAGCAAAGATGGCGCTGCCTGTGCGGACAAACTTCAGAAATGTCTCCAGGTTCGTCCGGACCCGTTTCTCTCCCGCCAGGTCCGTCTGCGCTGCTACCAGGAGCCCGGAGAAGCAGGTACGAGCTGCGGGGCCAAGTGTTTTATTCACCGGGGGAGTTTGTTTCCAGCTGGAAGGAAACAGTACAACACACTGACTGCACGAGCACAGACACACACAGTCACAGACACAAACACACACAGACACACAGACACAAACACACAGACACACACACAAACACACAGACACAAACACACAGACACACACACAAACACACAGACACAAACACACAGACACACACAGTCACACACAGTCACAGACACACAGACACAAACACACAGACACACACAGTCACAGACACAAACACACAGACACAAACAAACAGACACAAACAAACAGACACAGACACNACACAAACAAACAGACACAGACACACAGACACAAACACACAGACACACAGACACACAGACACAGACACACACACACACACAGACACACTCTCTGCATGTGTGTGTTAAAACACTCTCACGCTGTTTACACGGTTTAATGAGCTTCACGTGCTTCTCATTTCTTTTGTTCCCATGATGTTTCAGTCAGACTCAGGTCTCACCTGCAGATCACAGGTTCCAAACCTGCAGCGAACACGTTCGTGCTCTGTCACTGTTATTTCACAAACTCAGAGAAGAACAAACAGCAGTTGCGTCATTTGCACAAAGTTTGGGGCAGATGTGGAAGTGGAGACAACATCTGGAACACTTTCAGACCAAAAGACGACGTTAGTTATCTGGTGTGTTATTATCTTGTGGGAACAAGATATATATAGTTTTATATCAAGATAAATGACTTGTGCCCACAGTTTAAATCTGCTTGGTAAAGACACGATGCTTTGTAGAACTCACTGAATTGCGTTTATATCTTTTAAGAGTTTGCAAATTTCTCAATTATTATGATTGAAACATGGTCCTTCTGTCAACTGAGCCTGTTTTCCTTCAGCAAATTATCCCTGACTATTTTGCGTCTCTGTGCGAGAGCAACAAGAATTTCATTGTGTGACATTCTCAGGTGGAAATAAAACTCGATCAGCTGAGTTTTCTCCATCTGTGGTACAGATCTGGTGCCTGTGTGCATCTGAGTGATTACAACACAAACATAATACACAAAACAAGATAAATATCATGTATGTTTTAGCCAAGCGGACCTGAGCAGCAAGAGCCCAAACTGTCCAAGCAAACCCTCTCATTTTAGAAGCTGTGACTGAAAACCTTTAATGTTTGCTTGAATTGACTTCCCAAAGACTGTTGTTCTCTTCACTGCATATAATTCATCCTATAGAGCTGGGCCCATAAATCCTATGTCATATATTTGACAGTAAAAAAACAGGTTTATGTGTTCATGGTAATTTTCTGTGTGTGTATGAATAACACACAATCATGTTCTCCGGTCATTTAAGGACAAATGCTATGTGTAATTTCTTCTTCTTTAATAATTCAATCACCCAAAGTCTTGAAATTAGTACTTTTTGAATGAGTGTCTTGCTTTTAATTAACAGTCTCCTCTGTTTTTATGACACTATTATTTAAAAAAAGCTAAGTACGTAGAGAATACCTGTGGAATTGCTGCAGGAAGTTTTGGTTTCTGCAGCAGCTGCATTTAGTTTGACAGCAGACGGTGTTTTCAGAGGCTGGAAACCTCAACAGTGACTGTTTGTTAGGTTTGTTATCAGCCGAGTCAAAGAGCGAAGGTGTTTTTTCAGATTCAAGCAAACATGGTTATACCTAATCCCAGGGGCAGATGCATTCTGGGAATGGAAGGAATTAGAAACTGAAGTTGAAGTAAACGAGTCGTGTTGAAGTAAAACGTGGTTCTACTTATAAAACAAGTCTTCACATGAATTAAATGTCATTGACGGCTTTATTATTGCCTAATGGAGGGAGGATGTTTTTAATGACTTGAGATGTTATTCTGTTTTGGGTTTTTCCTTCTCAGACGCACCTTGTTCATCCTCGACTTGAGCAGCTTCCTTTTACAACTAAAATGTTTCTCCTCGTCTAATTGAGATTATTTAGTGAAGTTTCTTTTCCTGGTCTGGTCATGTGACATGTGACCTGATATCGGCTGTAGCGCTCCTTGAGTTTTACTGTGAATTCCGAGAAACGTGCCTCCTATAACTCAGCCGAAGGGTTTTCTTATTATTGCAAGGCTGCCTTGGAGAAGCAAATGGGGTGTTAAGGCAAACAACGAGTCCCCTGGCTCATGCAAGAATCTCTGCTGAGTTTCAGTGTGACAAAGATGCTAATTACTGAGCTGTTCTTGCATTAGAGTGCAGCTGAAAACCTCTCCCATCTGCCCATGTAGGACTGTTGTAGTGTGATGTACGAGCTGTAATACAGTATGTGCGTTCAACGCTGTCCCGTCTGTATTTTGTTAAGTCGTAGTCTCGGGAGAGGCCAGAGAGGTGTGCAACTAGACGGGACGACAGGGTGGAAAGGGGAGGTGGAATCACAGCAGTGCTTCATTACCAGCAATAACACCAGAAATGAAGTGTTGGTTTTCATTTGTTTTAATTTTCTCCAAATGTGGCCGGGCGAGTGCAAACACCGGCACGCTCACAATGCCCCGAGGTGTGATGTGCGTCAAACAAGATGCTTTTCTGCAGGTTTTTTTTTTTTTTTTTTCCTGGAAAAGTGGAAAATGTGTTTTAAAAAGCTGCTGAACCTCGACGGGCTCAAAGATGAAGTGTGACCTTTTTCATGCTTTGACTTTTGTTTGCGAGCAACTCCGTCTTTGCCACTTGTGGTTCAAATTTGCTGTTAATATCTACTCATATTAGCAAATGTCGGTGAGATAACCTGCGGTAATTCGATAAAGAGGGAAGAAAGGAAGAGAGGGAAACATGAGAAGATGTAAAGCTTCACGACTGCAGTCAGGTCGGCTGGTTGTTTTCAGCTGTTTTTCATAAAGAGACAAACGGTACATAATCATTGTTTCTATTCATATTTAAAAGCAGTTTTTCATTAACTATTAAAGGAAGATATATGATATGATGTAGTTCAGCTTAAAAGTAATGAAGACTTGTACTTACTGTGTTATATCATGTCTAATGCCAGTCCTGTTTATAGAAATTTAAATGGGAGCAAAGTGAGGGTGTGAATTCTGGAAAACATGGGTGTTGAATCTAATTAAAAATGTAATTTAGTTACTTAACTAGGATCCATTATTTCTTCACCCGTCTTGAGTTAGCGCCTCAACTTCTATGTCATATGGAATTTACTGGAGCAACCCCCCCCCAAGTTTATAGTGTGAGAAATAATTTACAAGCTAAGTGAGCTAAGGGAAGTATTTTCAGATACGTATTGTACAACTTAACCTTCAATAATGGCCAAAATAAACAATGAAAATAGAAGTAGATTTATTATAATGGTAATAATCAGTTATCTACAATCAGTCTAATATGTATGTGACTCTAGTATTTGTTGTCTTACAGAAGAATCAGTTTTATTGCCAAGATACAAGGAATCTGCTTTTGTGTTTGATGCATAACAAACATTATAAGAAGAATTATATAAAAGGATTAAGGAAATTAAGAGGACGTACAGGAACCTATAGAACAAAAGCAAAAAAGTAAAACAAATATATAAAAGTGTGTGCAATAAGTAGATTGTGCAGGGTATGCAAGTAGTCCAAGGTGTGTGTGCTTTTACTCTCTGTTTGAAATCTGTCTATATACATGTCATCATTTGAAAATCTTTTAACAGATAAAGCAACAAATATCTAATTTTTTCTAAAATGTAAAATCATTGCATAGATTACTTTAACCTGAGTGGTGAAATTTAGCTGTTATACTCTTTGGTTAGAGCAGAAATCTTTCTGTGCAGCTTTACCTCAGCCTCCCGTCAGCTGTAAATACTGGGCTCCCCGTCCAGGGGTCCCTCGCCTGTGGTCCTGTTATTGGCTGATATCAGTCATGTCAGCCCCGGGCTCCAGGAAAGAGGAAGTGACTTCTAATTTGCCTCTCTGTTCTCCTCGGCTCCAAATTCACTTACTCGGGTGTCAGCTAAAACCATTAGAGCTGCTCCTGCACCACATGGGAGCGGCCGGCGAGAGCGAGGAAACATGGCCTCCCCTTCGAGGATGTTCATTAACTGCCCTATTTATTTTCAACTGTCAGAAAAGCCCGCTAATTCTCAGCAGTCTGCTCTGCGTAATTAGGTCTGTCGTAGTCATTCTCCTGCCAGAGCCCTCACTCAGGCTCTGTGCACATTACCTGCTTCTTAAAACTATGCCGTATGTCAACATATTCCTCTTTCTGAAAATGCATGTAAAGCTAAGTTGAATTACAGAATCGCTCTTTAGACATTTGCCCACAGTGGTGCCAGGGGACTCTTAGTCGTTTTACCATGTTTTAGTTTTTGACTGATCCATCTGACATTTCTAATTAAAACGCACCAAGTATCTGGTGTCAGGGTTTTGAGCTGCACTCAAGTAAATAGCCGCTGCTTTTACAGGAGGGAACGAGCGCACTGTTCAGAGAAGCTGCTGGTGGAGGTTTGCCCTGAGAGTTACCATAATTACATATTGATAAATTTATGAAGTGTAGGTCGGTTATTTTCTGCTGCGTTGTGTTTTATGTGTGTGTTTCTGATATTATTAGCTCTCCTGTCAGTCACTTGTTTCCTGCCAGTGAAATAAAATTAAACATGCTCCATTGTCAACACAGACGAAGGAGGAAGTGGTTAAAATGAAAGTATTTGAAAATGTGTAAGTAACAAGTAGCTCTGGCATGAGTGTGTTTATCTAACGGTGAAAAAAGCTGCAGAGAAATTAAGCTAGCCTTGACTTTTGCAGCTGCACACAGCTACGTGGGACAGCTGCTCTACGTGGGATCATGGACATATTGAAAAACTGCATTGGTCTGAACTTGAGCTGAACTTAGTTTTATTCGGTGACACTGGTTTTAAACAGATTTGGTTCATGACACAGCTGTTGTCAGACCTGATGTGTTGGTGACAGTCAATAGTTCTTGTGGGATGTGTGATGAAGAACTTGTTATTGACAGTTTGTTGTTTACACCGACCACAC